GGAGGGTCCGGCTGCTCCCGACCCCCTCCCCGCTCCGCTTTGGGGACGCTCCCACGGCTCACATGAGCTGTGCGTGCGGCCGGCGGGGGCTCGGAAAATGGGGGTGTCTRTTCCTGCCCCTCGCCTGCTCCCGGGGGGCAGCCCCAGTGCCCAGGGCAGAGGTGGGCGCCTGCCCCCCCTCACCCCCCAGGGGGGTTTTTACTCTTTGTAAAATGTCATTTCTCTCTCTCGTTTTGGGGAGCCCCTGCCGGGGTGATGCCCCGGGAAGTGCCTGCAGGAATGCGCCCATTTGCACTAAGCCAAACTGCACAAAGAGGGGTCTTTTTGTTTTCCTATACTTTTTTTTTTCTCCTTCGTGTGGTTTTTATTTTTTAAATAAAATATATGAAAATTCRTATTTTTACCTACTCCCTCCCCACAGCACGAGAGCGCGCGGGCCGCGGCGCTGCGGCAGCGGGATGCCTCCAGCCCTGGGCGGATTTTAAGGGGTTTAATTCACTTCAAACCCCCTTTTTACCCAAAAAAACCCTTTTTCCCCTCAAAATCCTTTTTCTCCCCTCAAAACCCTTTCTTCCCTCTCGTCCTGTCATTCTCTAGCCCAGGCAGCAGCTCAGGACTGCGTTTGGCCGGGCCATGCCACCCTGCTCCTCTCCTCATGCAGGGAGGGGACAGGGAGGGGTGGTGGCCCTGCCACCCTCCTGCCCTGTGGGAAGGTTCCCTTTRCATCAGGGACCCCCCCACTGCAGGGTCCCCCCTTGCAGGGGTCGGACACTGCTTTGGTCCCATGGGTCAGGCTGGTGCTGTGCCCCAACTTGTGCCCTCCAGGGATGTGATGTGTCAGATCCAAAAGAAAAAAAAAATAAATATTGGATTTTTTTTAATGATTCCTGGTTCTTTAGTTACCGTTAACACAGTCAGGGTGGGCACCTTTGGCATTCTTGGCACCCCCAGACCCACTGTTGTGTTGTGGGTATACCCTGCTCCTGTATCCCACATCCCCCAGAGATGGCATCCTCCTTGGAGTTATTTAATTTCAGATAAAGCCCAAAAAATAAGGAAATTGCTACCAACGTGCTGCAGGGAGGGAGGGAACAAGCCCCAGGTGCCAGCCTGAGGGTGAGCAGGGCTCCCTGCTGGGGTGAAGGGGGGTTTTGGGGAGTGGGGACCCCATCCCCACATCCAGGAGCAGGGGGAGTGCAGAATCCTGCAGCATCACAGGGTCCCCCATGTCAACCCATCCTTCCACACAAGGCAAGGAGGAAAATAGTAATAGTAGTAATAGTAATAGTAGTAGTAGTAGTAATAATAATAATAATAATAATAATAATAATAATAATAATAATAATAATAATAATGAAAACCCAGACAAAATTATAGCAGCAATTTCCCAATTTATTGAAATGGATTGATTTTTGCAGGTATGTCTAAGCTAAATCCCATCACAAAGGTTCTATCCGAGGGGCAGCCCCCCAGCAGGCGAGGAACTGGGCAGCAACTAGAAAATAAAATCAGATTTATCTGAACTACATCGACAGAAAATCAGTACAACACAGCATGTTCTCCCACTGACTTCTGGTTATGAAATCTCCTCAACCTCCCCAAAATATTAAACACATCTTCAATACAAACACAGGTTTATAATAATTAATATAAAGTCAGTATAATATAGAATATTCCCAGCAAAAAAAAAAAAATCAACAATCTTCAAACACCATCCTTTTTGTGTTTGTTCAGCTTTATTTTTGTAGACAGGTTTAAAGCACGTTGAAAAATAAATATAYATGAAAGCATACACACAGCACTCTGACTAGGGGGACTGAAAAAAAAAAGGCTGAAATTCAAAACACAATTCAGGATCTACAAAATCAAAGGAACCATTARTTATGGCTTTCATAGGAATCACATGTGTCACAAAATGACCAAAAATCAGATTATCTTTCAGAATATTGCAAAAAATTCCAGTTTTTGCATTGTTTTCATGGAGTTTCTTTCCTCAAGGGTGATGTGCAAAAGGTGGAGCTTTGAGGACAGTCCCAAAACACACCCACCCACCCCAAAGCCATGACTTTGCTTCAGGGAAGTGGAGTGTTTTAAGGCAGGAGTGGGGAGAGGAAACAAAAGGGGAAGTAACGCTGGAGTGGGTTTCCTTCCGGATAAAAATTATTCATTTTGTTGTCCAGAAAACTGATTTTTGATTAAAGGGAAAAAATAAAAAGAAAAGGGAAAGGACAATCACTTTGCAAACCTTCATTACAGAAGTCCCCCTCTGCCTGCCCCCAAAGCYGCTCTGCAGCTGTGAGGCTTTGGGGTGACCTTAAAAACCACAAAACTGGGGAATTCATGATTTTAATAATATTTTTGGAAGTAAATCAACACAAGGACCTCGTTTGTCTCCATCCTTTAAGATATCCTCCARGTCCATGGATCCCTGGGATGTTTTCCAGAGGGCACAGACAGGACAATGCCCTCTGCCCCGTTCCACGCCATGGCTGAAACGCTCTGTACTCCTGGCACTCAGATTTAAAATAAAAAAAATGAGGGTAATCAAGGAATTCAGGGAGGAACATTTACATGTACAAATGCTTTAAAAAAATGAGTTGCAAGTTCTTGAGACGGAGTATATCCATGTTTTACCTCTAAGGGAGTTATTGTTTTGGAACTAGGTCCGTATATATATACACACACACATATATATATATATATATTTAGAAAAAATTAAAAAAAGGGAACCTTAGTGAAGTATACAAAGCCCTGAAGGGAAATACAAAGACGAGATGCAGAACAGGCAGAATTAGTGGGGTTTTGTTTAAATCTCCAAGAGCAGAAGTTTGCATAGGCAGTAGATCCGAGAGACCCTGGAGAGAAGCTGGAGGGATGCGATCACCTGGAGCGACTGATGAAGTTTATAGTTTCAGCATAAAAAACGTGCCCAAATTCCTTTTTWTTCAACCCCAAGTCAGAGCATGGAAGGTTAAAGATGAATCCCTGCGTTTCCAACTCTGCACACCTCCACCAGAACAAAGCACTTCAATAGACATCAGGTGTTAGAAGGGTTTTATTTGGTACATGGTGTGTGTTAGTGGGACAGAAGCACGTGCGAGRTTATAACATGGGAAAAGTTCGTTTTTATGTGGACTTTCCATTTTTCTCTCCTTTTTTTGCTTCATTTTTTTGCATCCTCAGCTCAAAGAGCCTCAAAGTGGCACAATTAGGAAACACTCCTGAGCGCTGCCCGGCTCTCTGCCCACCCTTAATAAAAATAAGGAAAGAAAAGAATAAAATAATTCCAAAGGAACTGTGAAGAAAGCTCAGCACTCTGTAACTCTTGATGACAAAATTGGGTTACCCAAGAGCAGGGAGGAGGAGGAGGGCTTGGCCCACACCTGCTCCTCCTCCTCAGGTGGATGCACACACCAGCTTTGGAGGGGATGGGCCATCGGAATGTCACACAAACCCAAGGGTTTGAACTGTTTGGATTTTTAATTTCTCTTTTAAATAAATTTTTACATATAAAAAGCAAAGCTACAGATAAATCTTTAAGTACTGTATGTATTTGTCTACACGCAACAGGTGAGGCTGTACGTTCAGGATCTCAGGCACCCCCACCCCCTCCACATTTACAGGGTGAATGACAATAAATACAGAGCCCACAGTCTGGGTGGGGGCCAAAATCGGGAAAAAGGAACAACCTCTTCACTCTGGGACCCCCCAAACCACTGGAAAAGGGTATATAAAGGTCCAATCATGACATACTTGGTGGGTTTTTACAGCTTTTTAAATAAAGGAGGAGAAGGAAAAGAAGCTAAAACGCAAAATGAGATTTTTACAAGTTCAGAAAAACGTTCCTGCTCTCCCCATATTTAAGGAAGAGGGTTATCCATGCTCACTCACTGCCTAAAGCAATGAGTCCCATTAACTCCTCYGGCCCAAGGGGCAGCAGCAGCAGCCACAGAGAGGATTTTAGCAAAGTCCTGGGTTCCCATATCACTGAGCACCCCAAACCGACAGGGCAGGAGCCTGGAGGCTCCCAATGGAAGTGATGGTGAATGGGATGATGGATGCAGAGAGAAGGTGCTGAATGTCTGCAAGGAACTGAGGAGCAGAGAAAGGGAGTGAATGCCATAAACCCAGGGTGCAACTGGAAGAATGGGATGGAGAGAGAACCAGCTCCTGCAGGTGCCAGGATGGAGGCTCCCACTGCACTCCACGAAATCCTGGCACCRTGTGGCTTAAATCCTTTCAGATTATTTGCTTTATG